CCATTTATCAAGACTATTTTAGTAATTCTACCATTATTAAATTGTATGATCACAATCCAAGTTTCAAAACACTAATACATTTTGAGTTTGATCATGGGCCAGGTTTACGAATTGGTAGGACTAACCGAACTCTATTACGCGGGTAGTCACGGGATGGACATAATGACTCCTGTAAATCTAAATGGGTCCCATGAAGACCCTAATTGTATAAAATCTACTGACCAACAGGTAAAATCATTGCCTCATTTCAAAATTTCACTTACATGTGGTCAACTTTTCTAATCATTTTCTTCCTTTATTTCCAAATAGGGTGAAGAGGTAAACCTCTTTCAGCCTGCGAAAGAATTCATACCCGTCATCGAAGAGGTCTATAAAACCCTCGTCGAGATAACTAAATGTATTAAAGGTGCAAAAGTAGAGAACCACAAGTTCTGCGCCTCTGTACATTACCGTAATGTCGATGAAAAAGACTGGCCAATTGTTGCTCAACGAGTTCATGACCACCTCAAACAATACCCTCGTCTTCGTCTAACTCACGGGAGAAAGGTACTTAGTTATCACTCTGGTTTCACATTTGATCCAAATCCTTTAACACGGTTAATTACTGGTTTTTGTTGATATGATCAGGTTTTAGAGGTTCGTCCTGTGATCGAGTGGAACAAAGGAAAAGCAGTCGAGTTTCTGTTAGAATCTCTCGGATTAAGCAACAACGACGATTTCCTACCAATCTTTATCGGAGATGACAAAACCGATGAAGATGCATTCAAGGTACTGAGAGAAAGCAATCGAGGATTCGGAATATTGGTATCGTCCGTACCAAAAGAAAGCAATGCATTTTACTCTCTTAGAGACCCCTCCGAGGTACAAATTACATAACAATATCATAGTCTATATTAATCATTAATGTAAATTTGTAATGTGTGAGGTTTGGTTGGTAATTAATGATGATGATGTTACAGGTGAAGAAGTTTCTAAAGACTTTGGTGAAATGGGCGAAGATGGACGACTCTACACGTTTTTAATGATTGTGTAGGAGAATCAGAAGAGCTTCTTCAGACAATTCTGTTTCATTATTTTCCCCTTTAGTGTTTTTTTTTT